GCAGAGGGCATGGGCAGAGTCACGCCGTTTTTGCGGCACTCGACAACGGAGCTGGCCGGGCGGGTGGGCCGCACCTCATCCCTGTGGTTCATGTCCTGCCGCTGCGGCCCGCCTCTGCTCGCTCCAGTGATGCGTGCCGCCGCGCTGCTGCTTGTGCTACCGCATTGAGCGCCACCGCCCCGCTTCTTGCGCCGCTGCGTTGCGCGCTGCCGCGCCGTTTCTTGCTGCAGTGATGCGTGCCCCCACCAGCGCTCGAGCTACGCGTGGCCGCGCCGCTGCTTGCGCCGCTTCTGCACCTAGAAGAAAGGAGGCGGCGAGCACCTTGGCCCAGCCCGCGGTGGCGATGCAGTTGGCCGGCGGTGGCTTGCGGGAACGACGGCGAGGGCCTGCGGGAACAGCCGATCCCGATTGGATTGGGGTAAGGGGGATTTGTTTTGGGTGTTGATTGCGTTTTGTTTTAGATTCCAGGGGTATGTATGTCAATTATTTGCCAAGTCAGCTCCTTAAAAGTCGGTCCCACTTGTCAGAAAGCGATCAAACGGACCAAATCACCCGATCAGTGCTTTTTGCAATAGAATTAGAGAAATTGCAGTGCTTTTTGCAACAGATTAGCGACTTGGTGGTTTTCTGCAAATCTAGCCGCAAATGTGGTAGTTTCTTGCAATTGACTCGAGGTTTGGACAGATTACACAACAAGCGTTTGTATAGAGTGGGTGAAAACCCATGATTTTGGCGAGATCAGAAGTGTGTGCTTCGTGCCCTCGTTGAAGGTCTTGGCTCTAAGTTCCTCTTCACGGATGAGAACCCCACATTTGGCCTTTGGTGCATGTGCGGTGATCCCTTCTTCAAAGTATTATCTAGGAGAGGCATTCTTCTCGTTGGGCCTCTTAGAGCATCTCTAATAGCTTATCTATATGAATGTCTATACGCGTTTTCCACGACGTGAGCCCAAAACAGGCGTCCAACAGCTTGTCTATATGATCATCCAAATATACATATCCTCTAAATCGGCCTCGACAATGTCCATGCCTGGACAATGTGAAGGCGTTGTCTAAACTCAGCTGCAGTCATGATTTCTTCCTCTCTCCAGCGACGGCCCACCTGTCATGGTCCCTATATATAGAAGTTCTGATGCAAAACTAAATGTGTATATGAAGGAATCTTTTTAGACCATTGTTTATATGAATATATAGGCATCCAAATATACACATGCTATTGGAGATACTCTTGTTTTTATCGAGGGTTTATCTGTGGCGATAGGTCAAGTAGTTAACCTTGTTGTTTCGGTTAGCAAGTTATTTTATGCTTAGTTTTTCTTGGCATTATTTAACAATTATGGTTCTGCACATTGATATTATTTAGGGGAAACAACTGGACTCTGCAATGTTTTTTATTGTTTTTTTAAATAATACTCCTCCGTAAACTAATATAAGAGTGTTTAGAATACTAAAATAGTGATCTAAACGCTCTTATATTAGTTTACGGAGGGAGTACATGCGAGTTTTGTTCAAGGACGATGCTTAGTTTTGCTCCGCTTTATTTAACAATTAATTAATAGTGTATATGGTCCTACACATCGATTGATGCGCATGCCGGAGCTTTTTCTTCTTTTTGAAATTAACATCATTACAATGAACAGACACTCTGTGTGTCATTAGCAAACCAACCAACCTTAAAGCACGACCAACTCTGTCACGCAATAATGTTACGATGCAGGTTAAACAAGATATTAAGAGAATCTTTCCAGCTCCAGACATCGACAGTTCTTTCGTCCATTTAGGCCATCCACTTGTTTTACCTTCTAAAGATAGATCAACTGCTTATAACTTTGTTTACGATAAATTCAAGTCCAAACTTAGCACATATAAAGCCAACAGACTCTCTCATGCGGCAAGATTAACTCTCATAAAATCTGTTTTCTCTTCCATTCCTGTATATTACATGTCCAACATACTTTTTTCAAAAAAGTTCCTTGCTAAACTATCAACAATCACTAGGAACTTTTGGTGGACAGGTATTCAAGATGATCAGACTACTAGAAGCTTGTGCCTTAGGGCATGGGCTGATGTATGTATTGAGAAGAAAA